GGTGATAGGGTACTAGGTCAGGGCGGCAAATCGATTGATGCGGTAGTTATTAAGTCCTTATCAACTAAGGTGGTCGGGACATGTTATTAATGCCCAATTATCGACGGGCGATGTTGTCTGGTGTAGAAGTATTCTGAAAAAAGGCTATGAGCGGCGGGATTTAAGCATGCTATCGGTGCATCAAGTCATTATGGATTGGACTGAGAGCTATGTCAACAGGTGTAGACTACGTGGTCGGGGTCCGTGTGATTATCGTAGCCAGTGGCTAGACTTTGAATGACATGGCTCAAAATCGTTTGTAAAGGTGCATATGTATCCATTCTTCTAATCTTTTGAATTCCTCATAATTTTTTTATTTCGTCAATCTATATTTTCTCGAATCGTATCTTCGATGCTCTATTACCACTGATGTTGCTACTACCTCTATTATTTTGGGATTCGCCCCGAAAATTTTAACTTGCTCTGCTAATGGGTTGTAGCAACTCGAACCGATGTATGTGAGTACCAAGTCCTATGCTGCCTTGACTGATGTGTTCGTCACTAATGGTCATTAAATATCCAAAAGCCAGGTACACAGTAGTTGATTGAACTTTCGGTTTGAATTGGATTACATTGTAACAGACTCAGTTATCCCAATGATCATCATTCTTCTGTGGTGTCTAGTTCTAATCAAATTTTATCATCCCAGACATCGTATGTGTTTATTGAGCTTAGTGGCACAACGTCCTATAGTGCTGTTAGATGTTTGTAAGAGACTACCTGAAACTTTCATACTTTTTAGTGTTGGTCAACACAACGTATGGTCTCTCTTAGCTACTCTTCTATATTATTTCAGCGCATTGGTCACTAAACACTTACAATCGTTCACCGTGATGAACTATTTATAAATCCCTATATTATCTTATTTTCCTTTGGCTTTTTAGATGAAAGTATTAGATCAAAAAAATCGTGCTGAACTAGGTGGTCTGCATCTAAATATTACAGCAACAGTGAATACGTGGACCCATACTAGACGTAAACGACGAGAAGTTCAACGTCTTCTAATGTCTCAACAATCGGATACGACAAACAATGGAAATCCAACTAATAATGATTCTGTATCCAATGAAAAAGATCACATGGAATGCGGTTTTAACACAAATACGGTTAGTTCTAAAAATCCTTCAAAGCGTATACATGATAGTAACCCAGATGAAGTGAATAATTCATCGGAATCAATCACACAAGCAACAACAGAGACAAAACTGAATAGTTCTGTGGTGGAATTGGTAAATCCACCAAAACGAACGCGAGCAACACTTCATGATGAAATCTGTGAAGAAGGTGAAGACGCTTGGTTTGATGGAGATGAATGTGAGAATGCTTCAGTTAACAAAATTAATACGTGTTCAAATAATGAATTACCATCTACTGCCATCGACACTTGCTCACATGTGATTCAAGCCAATGTATTTGTTGAGTATTTAAACACAGATTCATTTATTAAAGACGTACATGCAAAATCATCTTTATTTCCACATGGAATCAATAACAGTGACGAAGTAATGCATAATGATAGCATTGAATGTGATCAGACAATTATGAAAGTTAAAAGTGATATAAGCGCTAGTGATGATGACGATGTGATTCTTGCTGAAGAGGAGCATGGACCATTGGTGATAAAGATCGCTTGGATAAGTGGGACATGTCGAGAGGCAGCTAATCAAATTTTATTTTACTTAAAAAATCGTTTGAAGTGATGTTCTACTCTTTATTCCATTTTTTTTCACCATATTTGGCTAGAAGAAAATAAATTATTTTTGTAAATAAGCAGTTGCATTTCTTTTGTATACATGTTTCTAGCAAAATAGTGTTATTATATGCTATTGTCATTTTGTACATTAAATACACCAAGCTTCAGAAAAATAAGCAGTGATTTTTCGGCATTTTTATCATTTTGAGGTGAAATAATGTATATGTTACAGTAGTAATCAGCAATTCCATTTTTCTAACATTATGCATTACTTAACAGTAAAAAACTGCCCCACCAAGTCGACACTGTTAATGGCGAACGCTTTGTATATCATGTCAGTCACCATGCATATTGTCATAATAGCAAAGTAGATATACAGAAGACAATCGATATTTTCATTCAGGTTGCTAGGTAGAACCGAAATATTTTTGGACACGCTTTGCTGGGAAAGTCGTTTGGGTGTTGATTGAACTTTCTGATTGGGTTTTTTTAACGTAGTAGCAAATAAAATGATTGACTGAGGGTATTCAGTCGATTACTGATGGTAAGTTGGCCGAGATTTGTAGTTGAAGAGAATAGTTTTCCTGAAATTGTGCTCTTTGATTTGGTCGTTTAAGTCGCGACGCTTTCATTGTCATCCAAAACGTCATTACAAACCTCAGTTAGAAGTGAGCTGTAAGGAATTCTCTGAGTGACTTTAATCTTGTCATGTAGACCTTGGAATTGACTGATTGTTGCCGAAATGTCTGCACATTTACGCTGATTGTCCGCACTTGATCTTATAGTTTGTGACTTTTCTAATTTAGTACCAAGGCCCTAAAACTCGTGTTTTGTTTCTGTCCAATATTTCAAGTTTCTCACAGTAGAGCCTTAAAGTTACCTACATGTGTTGATGTAAGTGAAGATAAATCATAGTGTTTGATAGCCAATGAGTGTTTATTTAGAGAACTATCAAAAGGAGCGGTCGCTCTGGCTGATGCAATGATTTTCAAAGTTGGGATAGTATATTTCGTAGTTGTTCGGCTTGTCGTCCTGTTATTTCGTTTAGCATATAGTTGATTTAGCTGAGTTGTGAGTGACGTCTTTTTTAATCTGGTTGTAGTCGCTGTCTTTAACATGTCATCCGTTCGCTGCATTCCACATTTAGTTCTCTGATAAAGTTGCGCGTATAGCCGTTCTTCCGGAAAAAATTGCCAGATATCTTCATTTCTACAGTGTATCTCCACTCTTCTAAATAGAGTTTATTTGGTAGGTGTTTGCTGATATAGTAAACGATTCGATCTTTTTGGGTTGTTCTGTGACACACCTGAGTCTCAGGTTGAAGTTTATAATTAGTTTACCACCAGTAGGAGCAAATATTTCTCAAATTCCTTCATACTGCCTAACGTTGAAAATAATACGGTATAATCTGAATAACTATAGTTTGAAATGTCTAGTGGGTATGCTACAATAATTTATTGTTTAATAACTAATGATAGACACTGCTAAGAGTATGTCCGGGATGGTTATGCTGGACAAGTTTCGAATATAAAATACCATCTAATTATGCTCCAGAAAAGATCGATGCGATTCTGGTCGAGAGGCCTGTTTAAAACTTATCCGGATATGTTCATAGTTATGTGTAAATGGTGTAAAATCGGCCCTAAATGGTATAGCATTTTACCGTGGTTCCATGTATGATACTTGCGTGGTCTGCAAAGGTGGTCCTAGCGGGAAAATCAGTTATTTGGGTGTAATTTTAGATCATGGGTTGTCTATTGATAGACTTCACACAAAACAAACAAATTCAATATTTTGTCCAAAATATCACTCTTATCTGTAGCTATCACTTAATATTGTCCCGACTAACCAGATTTTACTGAAAACAAACTAGTTCGGGTAATACTGTTTTTTAAATAAGATGCATTGAATGTTTCCCTTATCTTAATTGACCTTATTCCTTTGAAGGCAACGACATGAGATACTACCACTAATATAAAGCTCAGGAGTACTGTAGTTTTTATTTATGGCGGTGAAACGTGGCCGGAAAGAGTAGAGAATATCCGTAGGTTAATAATATTCGATCATACGTGTCTTCGAAACATTGCTCGTATATCGTGGGACCATCGAGTAAGTAACGCAGTTGTTAGGAAACGGGTACTAGGTAAGGATGGCAAATCAATTGATGACGTAGTGAAGCTTCGTCAGTTGAGATGGCTGGGACACGTGTTAGGTATGCCCAACGACCGACTGCCTCGACGTGTGATGTTCAGTGGTATAAAAGTAGGTTGCAATAAAGCTAGGGGCGGCCAGACCAAAACATGACACAAATCCATAAATTCACTGACAAGTGGACTGAGCCATGTTGGTAGGTGTAGACTACCTGGTTGTGGACTGCGAGATGATAGCAACCGATGATTAGAGACCCTGAATGACATAGATCAAAATTGTTTGTAATGGCGCAGGTACATCCACTCTTTTTGTTCTCCCAAATTCTAATCTCCTGAATCCTCCTCGTCTTTTTTTTCTCCTTCCAAATTTATTTCACTGGATTATACTCTTTAAATAACATCTCCAAATCCTAATCTTCGCGATTACTGCTTATACTCTTACTACCTCTACCACTACGGGATTTGAATGGACAACTGCATCTCTGTGCTAATGTGGTATGGAAACTCGAACTGATGTATGTACATACGAAGTTCTACGTTGTTGCTGACTGACTGATTTGGATTTTAGGTGAGCTAGACGAATTTTTTGACTAATTTAGTGTAGCTTGTTAATATTATCTAACTTCAGCAGTTGAGTCTTTGAAAAAGATTCATGGTCTACCTAATTCAGCTTGAGTAGTTGGATAGCAGTATCGCAAGCCTTCATACAATATGGCTCAATGTTGAGTGCATAAACATCTACTTGATGTTAGGTGGTAGCCCGCAGGAAACTCCGGACCTACGTTTTGTGATAGTTGTAACTTGTCAGCAAGGCTACCTGCAATGTCGAGCATATTGATGATCCCTCAGTATTTTGAGCCCATGACACCCAACTTCATAGTTTGGGGCGTTACCAGTGAGTTTTTCGGGCTGCAGTGTCGAGCTATCAATACTGGTGATCACAGTTCAACTTGATCGATAGAACCCGATGAGGATATGTACCTTAGACACATAATCTGCCACTACTCAATGACCAGTCAGTTGTAAACATTTAATTGGTAAGTGAGTTACATTCATATTTAAGTGACTAACTCTCCAGTACATCCCATACTTATTCGATGGGAAAAAACTAAAGTATTCTATTGATTAACGTTTATGTGCAAGTATAACGTGAAACTGAATCAGCAATTGCCTTATTCAAAAGAATCGACCAGATTCATGTAATTTATGGATAATAATCTTTGTAAGAAGTAGAAACATCTACCTAGAACATTTGATATTGCAGAAAGAACGTCTTGTGTGGATAGAGGAAAAAAACACTTCCAAAAAATATATATTCAGATCTTTTTTTCTAGTATTTTACGAATGTTATCCGGTACAGAAACTTTCATGTCAGCTTTATGTGATTACTCTGTGTTAAAAAAAATATGGTTCTACATTGATCGATCGTTCGCTTATTTAGAAGAGAAAAGAACTACAAAGGTAGGTGAAATAAATAATTTTTGTAAGGCATAAAGTGAACAAAAATTATTACTTACACAAGACGAAAGATGGAACAAAGAGTAAGAGAGGGATACAAGGCATGTGCAAGTGCATTTGTTAGTGCACACAGGAAGAAAATAGATAATCATTCAACTCAAGGGATTAGAATTGGCGAGTTTGGGTGAAATTTTAATCAAATCAAATGATTTCTGGTTAGTCTAAAAGTGATTGGTGCTTATCACAATATGTTTGTGTAGGTATATGCAAGCGCATTTGTTTGTGTAGACCTATAAGGTGTTACTGCACATAGAAGAACAAGAATTAACTTCATTTAAAGAAAATGAAGGGTATTCTTTCAAATCACTTTTTAATCTTATCGGCTGCGTTTTACTCACGGTAGCCTTAAAAATATTCCAGCTAATCTACTCCATTCAATATCATCTGCAACTTGAATTTGTGTTTTTGTCTCCACGAAATGTATCAATAATTGATCGATCAATTGATCTAATCTTGATTTAGCTGAAAGTTTATTTTTGTAGAGAAAAATGAATGACAAAAATCACGAGGTAATACTTTATAAGCAAATATGTCATAAGTTCAGAATGAAAAGAGCATCAATCTATTTGTTAGTCATTGGACAGGATCGATAAAGCTATCAATAAAGGCGCCAAACGAAATGAATGATAATATTACAGTGAGAGGATAATCGTTTGGAAATTAGTAAGGTGATAAATTTTATGACAACATATTTTGAGTACCAAGAGTGATTCGGTTCATTCAGAAAGTGAATCCTACTATTGATAAATTAACACTGACAGTTTATGTATTATTCTTTAGCATGGTTTACATAATATTGTGGTGTTTGAATGAACTAATGATTCCTTTGTACTTGTTGAATGCTTGACTTCGAATTTCAAATACAGTACGTTCGTTCGTGATTATCTGATACTTCTTGATCCAATCGCGTTATTTCTGAGATTCTTAGTCAGTACTACAATTCAAATACTCCTAATTATCATAAATATCGAAAGCACGTTCATTACTATGAACCAACTAATTTAACTAGTAATCAGTTTGACACAAAGAATCCTTCGCATACGGTAATAATTAGTGAGTATAATTTGTTTTGACAGGCTCTAACATATTGCAACTACTGTCATTTAAAAATGTTTGAACTTTCTTTGATCTTCAGTTAAAATTTCTGAAGAAGGACAGTTTACATATTTCAGCGGTCAGCTTATTCAATCGTATCCTGGTGATAACTCTATACAATAATATATAATAATATTTTGTCTACATATTGGACATGTTCAAATAATAAAAACAAAAAAATAGGAAGACAATCTTACTGAATATGTCGACTTCATGGTGTGTGAGCAGCTTTCGAGTCAATTTCTTGGCGACCGATTTGAATGCATCCTACAGTATACAGAAATAAAAATGCATCAAACAGATCCCTATTATTGTATTGAATTAATGACTGAAAATAATCTCTGTCGAAATAGTGACAAATATCAGGTTACTGTTATCAACTTATAAATTGAACGATATCGTAATTGTAAAAACATGGAACATTGCTTGTTGTTTCCTTCTTTTCCTATCAGTTATTGAGGTCTACAGTGCTTTTAATAAGACGATTATCATATATTTCCCAACGTTATATAAGTACTATTTAACCAGAAGTGCTCATTCATATGTTTTTATTTCCTCGAGACAGTAAATGTATTCTTAGAAAGGTTGGTTTTCATATTTTGTATCTATATACCGAGAAAGTAGTTTTATTAGGTACGAATTCGCTTTGGCATTCGGAGTAACGATTGTATCATCCTCAGAATAGTTCAAAACAATCTGATAATTGACTATTATGCATATATTACATGCATATATTTCATTGTCGTATCTACCAAACAAATATATGGGTGCATTTAGATTCCAGGGTATACGTAAGTTACACATATAATGAAAATTAAGGCATACCTAAAACTTTAGCGTGGAAGTCGAGGCAACTATGAATCTACAACCGAATTTTTGTGAATTAGTGTATTTAATGGCTGTGAGTGTAATAACAGCTCGATTTCATTGATAAAAATATCATAAACTATGTACAACAATTAACTTTACGTTATTACTAAAATCACGCAGACCATATATTATAGCTGGAATTATATGACTTACAAAAACAACATGGTGCCAGAATTTAGAATTAATTATTGTTACAGACAGAGAATCTTTTGAATACTCAATTCGGTAACAATATGTTTTAGAAGCACCATGTAGTCGACACTTTCAAACCTATCGTCATGTTGAAGACCGTTTAAACAAATTAACAGTAAATAAACTCATTTATCAACATAGTGAGGAATAATTATCTTTTTTACAAGAAAAACTAACTAAATGCACTTAGAAATATGTATATATAGCATTATTCATTCCATGAAGTTATTTATCAATTCGAAGAATTACAGTTGTGTAAAGAGCTTTGGATTTCCTGATTTACAGTTTTAAAAATGCTAACATCTATTAGTTAAAAACTCAATACTCAGTATCAGTATAACAGGATACACTTATTTTCCGTTATGTTCCTTGGAAATTGGAATGTCCAGTTATTGTATATGTATCTATCCTGTATCTACATATGCATCTTTTTGTTTATTCTAAAGCTTACTCACCAATTACAGTTTTTTTATAGGCTACTGAGAACTGTTATAACTGAGATCGAATGATCCTTGTGTGTGATATTGGATGACTGTTGCATCTCCCTATCTACTTTTATATACTAACTGAATGACTGAAATGTTTAAAAAACAGGATTTTGTATTAAGGTAGTGTGTATGACATAAAATGCTAGTTTAATTACCGACGCAGGATTTCATTCTTTGACGAAGGCAAAAGTGATTATTGTTTATTTAATTATGATATTAACGTTTAATGAAAACGGTCATAATATAAGTTTACACAAGATCAGTAGGCAATAACCAATAGAAGACGTGTGTCAATTTATAATCATTAACTAGAAAAATTTGCAATGCGATGTAAAATTCCTAATTAGAAAGATGAATATTTATGGTGTGAACAATTTTCACATCGTCACTTAGATAATTTAAAAAGCTTTGTATTTTTTTACTGCATATACGATTCAAAAACTGTATATTCCACACACTCCCGACCGTAGCTGCTACCTTGACGCAGTGGTTGGGCTTGTCTACCGTGATGACCCAACCGACCTATATTGGCTGGAACGTATGTTCCTGTAGGTTCTAACATGCCAGGCAGGTCGATTGGAGAACGGTAAGACTAAAAGCAGCAACTCAAGGTCTGAGGGCGAAGTCGTACTACTGTCTTTTGAAAGGTGTGACAGCAGTAAGGTGTTTCCCTCAGGCAACCAGCATCTGCAGAGATGCTGCCTTCTCACAAGGAAGGAAGGGTTAGAAAAGGTCGACCCTAAAAATGTCACACTTCACTTTACCCCACAAATTTCCGTCTCCGGAGGTAAAGCCTTTTAAAAAACGGGGCCATTAATGATAATAATTACTCCCCACAAAAAGGCCGCGCGCGACCGGCCTCGAGCAGTTGTCCCTTAGGCTCTGTGGTCACGCTCCCAGGTCTTCAAGGCCAACGTGAATCCAACTTTCTCTTCAGGTTCTTCAAGAAATACGCTTCCACGGTGTGGGCAGCCGGGAAGTGATATCAGCCCTCATACACGTAACAGCACACGAGACCAGGTTGGTCACATTCAAATCATTCCTACACCTCCTAATACCTCTCTTATCGCCGCAACTAACCCTTCTCGCCTCTCTTTATCACCTCCGCACCGCTAGGGCAAACGATTCGAGTACGCGGAACGCTATTCCGGGTCTCCTGAAACCTCTAGGACAACAAGCTTCCTTAGCTAGGACTTTAGAATCTCGCGCCATCGATGTGTGCTGCGTCTCCGAAACGCGCATACAAGATCCGAGTAGCGTCATTCATTTGACTTCACCATGCCAAAATAAAGAACCGACTCGATTTACGCTTCGTGTATCTGGAAACCCTGACTCTGCTTCCCGTGGACTCGCCGGCGTAGGTATAGCATTGAGTCCCAGAGCAGAATTAGCTCTCTTAGAGTGCATTCCAATAGACAGCCGTCTGTGCGCAGTCCGACTAAATGGAACAATAAGGATTCGGAAAGATAGGGACACTCGTCATTGCCTCTTGATCGTCTCTGCCTATACTCCCACTGACAGCAGTTCAGATGATGTAAAAGATGAGTTTTACAGAAAGCTTTCGACCTTCACCGAAGAACTAGACGCTCTGATGTAGTAATAGTGGCTGGTGACTTTAAAGCTCAAATAGGTAAACCAAGTGAAGGGGAAATACACCTGGGTGGATCTTATAGCGTCGTGGCTCGAAGAACAGATAATGGCGACCGTCTGTTGCAGCTATGCACAGATAACTGCCTGTTCCTTGCAAATACTAACTTTAAGCATAAGCACAAACATCTTTTGACATGGCGACCCACTAATTCGTCCCAACGTTGGACCCAAATAGATCAGATCGCTATCAGCCACCAATGGAGGGGCTCGATAGAAGACTGTCGCTCATTCTGGAGCACATGCTTAGATTCAGATCATGCTCTAGTACGAGCGCGCATCTGCCTGCGTCTTACTGGACGTAGGAAAGACGCTGCAAGGAAACCTCTTAGGGTCCTACTTATTGATAGTCAAACTAAGAGTATATTTCAGGAACAACTAGAAAAACAGTTATGCAGCCATGTATGTGATGCCTACCCTGAGGCAGCATGGAATGATATCCGAAAAGCTGTGGAAATGGCAGTGATATCTAGTAGTACGGTAAACCACAAGGTTAGGGAGCAACACTGGATCTCAGCAGCATCTACCTCACTGATAGATGCCCGAAAATTCATTCCATCTGGCTATGAACATAATGAAGAGCGGAGTCAGCTTAAGCGCAGGCTGACAAGAAGCCTACGCAATGATCGTGGAAAGTGGTGGGTAGCGAAAGCAAGAGAGATGGAAAAGGCAGCAACAATAGGTAATAGCAGACAATTGTTCAGACTCGTTAAGGAAACTGACTGTTAGCGAAACAAACTCGGAGAAAGATGGACATATTATACATTCTCAATCCAGGAGATTGGATCGATAGGCAGAACACTTTAGGGATCAGTTCAGACACACTTCGGTTTCCCACGATCTCTAGTCAACCTGAATGGCAAGTTGATGTAGGTCCTCCGACTCTTTACGAAGTTGAAAAAGCTATAAGAAATCTGAAGCGAGGGAAAGCACCAGGTCCTGACAGGTTTACTCCTGAGATTTTTAAGGATGGTGGTCCAGTATTAGCAGTGAGATTAACTGAGGTCTTAGATAGAATTTGGGAACTGGACGTAAGCCCATCTGACTGGTCTCAATCACTGATTGTGCCAGTCTATAAGAAAGGAAAAAAGTCCTTTTGTGACAATCACAGAAGAATCAGTTTGACTAATATAGTTTCTAAAATATTAGCTTCAATAATATTTCGACGCCTAACTAAACCTCGTGAAGAGCAGACTAGAGAAAACCAGGCTGGTTTCCGACCTGGACGTGGTTGTATAGACCAGATATTCACACTACATCAGGTTCTAGAACACAGACACACGTTCAGACGCCCCACAATCGTATTATTTCTCGACCTTAAGGCAGCATTCGACCCTGTTGATCGTGAGGTTCTATGGCAGTGTTTGTCACTGACTGACTGACTGATTCCACATAGTGTAAGTTATATCACCGACTTTTAGGGAGATAATTAGCGATAAAGTCAATCCCTTATTATGTAAATTAATAAATGTGCTTGGAGAGGATTGTACCTAGGCCTAAACATGTATTTAGAAATATTTCTCCAAATCACTGTTAAAAAAACAAAACAATTTACTTTGTTTTTGAATAAACCTTTGGCAAAATGACGCGACAGAGAAGCTACTACTTGTTTGGCTAATTCAGCAGTAGATGAATTCATTTCAGTAGATGCAGAATTCTACATAGAAAAAAGGAAACAATAATAGTGTCAAATCGAAAAGAATGTTCTTTTGAAGTAATAATTTTTTTTTCTACAGGTCATAAATATTAGAGTAATTTAGTCTGCAGAATGATGAGCAGTTGTGTGCCAAAATCAATTAAACTATGACATGTTTTTGAGCGCAGGATTGTTATGCGTCAAGCGAGAATGAGTTTTTACTGATTAGTGAAAGATGAAAGGCAGATCCGAAGATAGTAAATATGTTATATCATATTGTATTGTAATTTTATTCTGGATTCACTCTGTGTTGACTACTTGTCTGGTCTATATTTGATTTCCAATCTTTGATCGGATATTGAGCACATGAGTCCATGTGACCTAGTGTATTATCTACTGGTCGTATAATCTCGTATCTATTAGCGAGCGTCACCAAATTGTTTTTTTTAAATTTTTCCTATTATATCACATTAATGATTGTAGACAGAGAAAAAGAAATACCTGATCTGATACGCACCAGAAAGTTATCGTCAGAAAGAAATTCGAATAAATTAAACAAATTACACAATTAGTACAAAAAAGGAGGTAAAAGTGCAGCATAAAATATAAATACAGAAAAATAATCGTAGCTATTTGCAACAAGATAATACAAGCATCTAACATTGATATTAGATATCGTATATAACTCATACAGCAATATCTAATACTAAATATATAATCAATATCTAATAAATAAATAGATTGGCACTATTCATTGACCTGGACGACATCGAACTCATTGAAAACAAGTTTTTGTGATGTGTTTAGTGATGAGTAACTAAAGGAAGAGAGTACTTCCGACAGAATAACATGAGATTTCACTACATGGTTAGATGTAACGTTCTTATTTTGTTTTGTATTAAATTAATATTTTCTTACTTTAACGTTGATTACTTTGTGATTATAACAACTACAATCGAATATGGGCAATCTTTTAACATCATCCATCGTCAAGTATTAAATTTTAAAAATGCAAATTTGCACAATATCAACTTCGACGGTATACTCACAATTCTTGATAAACATACAAATATTTTCTTATGTTTAACGTTATTCGTTAATTGTTACGGAGCGTAAAATGACAATTTCTAGTGTAGGAACCGTGAGCGATTAGTATTATATATGTTTAGCAATATGATATACGTTATTCAATAAAAAGAATTATGAACAGAGATAGAATTGTTTTATACTAAAGACGAGAACACAGACAATCATTTATCATCATCATAGAACTGAAATCATACAATGACGACAAGATAGCTTTAAAAAATCATCGCTTAAACAAAGAAATTATGGTTAAAAAAAGAATGATAAAACTCACAATTTCTTTGTTTGGCTCCGTATGCCGTGTTTTTGTCGGAATTGACACGATTGAACGAGGATTAACCGGTCTATGTTTATGATGGATTTGTTTGTCAACATGAATATTGGTAGTTTCTTCTTGAATATGAGTTGGATTGACCACGTCGCGTTCATAAATATGAGTATTCATAGTACTGATAGTTGTGGCAACAGTATTAGTAGTAGTAATGCCATTCGGATTAGTAGTACATACGATGGATGCAGAAGTAGTATTATTAGTGATATTAGTGGTAATGACAGCAGTATTTCTAGGGATTGACCGACTGTCAGTTTTATTACCTTGTTCCCAAAAGTAAACTAGACGCTTCTCAGGTTCAATAAGAAGTTCTGGTATAGATCCTGTTTGTGGTATGGTATGGTATGAGTTCGACTTATTTGTATAGTCAATATTATCATTGTCATTGATGTCATGCTTGACCTCATCAGATTTTACAGTTCGTACATGATCACGGGTAACCTCGTAGTTTGATAATTCTTTGTCCCCTTTCATTGCTGGATCTAGTTGTGGATGTTCTTTTATTTCTTTTCCATTGTTTTCATCATTATCATCATCATCATCATCATCACTAAGGTCTGGAGAACTCTTGAAGAGTATTATTTTTTTAAAAGCGTCGAAGAAAGAATGAATTAGGAATTTTTATTAGTGCGAATATAATAATCCTATCATTAACGTTTGTGAACAATAACTTGACAATACCGAAACTAGAAACTGTGAGATACGTCAGATAAAATAAGCGAATTTAATATTTAGCCACCAGTATTATTGACACTGTGACATATGTACTACTTTCTATCATAAAGCCAAAGCTGTGAAGTTGGTGAAGATAACAAATATAGCGTTGATTCTAATAAGACTTACTAAACATAATTTATTAATGAATCAGAAAAAGAATTAACAAAAATGTTTGTTGAAACATTAGCCAAGGTTAGAGTTAACAATCTCACTACATTAACTGCATATTCTCATGGTCACTTTTCATGAACACGAAAAATTAAGGCGGATGTTTTAGAAATAATCAGATAATTATGTTATGCTTTGTTTGGTCTAATTAGTTCATTGTTTGTGTAGTAAAACTATGATTAACTGGGACAATTAGGTGGTAGTTAAAAATCAGATATGTAGATTAATCAGGCCTTTATTCAAATATCTTTTATATGAGTAAACAAACATTTTTTCAACAACAAGAATAACTTCCGTTATATTGTAGTTGCTTTTACAGGTAGGATAAACCCGAATCAAAAATAGATCTGCCTCTCTGAATTTCTTCTGCTAAAAGGATTAATGGTACTAAAATTTCATTATCTAGATAGAAATCATATCAATACAACTAAACATAATTACTTAAAACGAATGATATATATTTTGTAGCTATGGAATTTGTTTAATAATAAACAGCTGACAGTCATATACTTTTGGAGATTCAAACGATTTGTTAAATGGGGGATTGAAAAACCCAGAACTTATGGCGTAAAGTATTTCCTAAAACAGGGGATTTATCCGAAAAAGTATAAAAATCACATTCAGCACATAAAATGTAGTGCTCGTCAATGAATTTTATCTACAGTGTGTATCGTGGTTAACAAAAACGTACATCTTTATTTTGCACTAGGATTCGATCACATCCTTTGATATCGGGGTCAACTTCAGTCGAATCCCATTGGTTATTTGCATTTTTGTTTAGCTTACCGTTTCCTTCAGTTTTGCTACCAGATTGTAGTTGTTTTGTCCAGAAATAGTTTAAAGGTTGGTCTTTATTCATGGACTTATTCTTTAAGTCTGTAGGATGTTTTGTTTCCTCGCCGTCGTCACTGAAATCCATGAAATCACTATCTTCACTTTCATAAACACCATGTTTGTTTATCGCAGAACCCTAAATGAAAAAAGGAGATTTATTGAACAATCCCTGTCATGCTCAGAAATATGTGTAAACACTGAACAAAATATCGAGGAAAAAAACATGTCTGAAGTTAGTTTATATGGAGAAATGACGATTAAAACCAGACAGTGTTGGAATTGTGACAAGGACTTAATGTGGGAATTCGCAGTAAGAAATACTTAAGATCCGATAACGAATCTTACCTGATTGTTCTATATTATTGGGAATGTAAAATGCATATCAAAATATTTAAAATCTAAGGTGCGATTATTTGATAGACAGTTGACTCTAGAAGCTTATTAGAATTTTATTGTATCTGTAGAATACTTAGTAACCGACTTAGTACCTGCTACTAAAAATCGTGAACCACATGACGAAAGTAAAAACATGATGACAGTAGATGAGGATTTATTTGACGGGGCGAACATTGGGAATGTTGTAAATTTCTGAACTATTATTGTTCATATTTTAATTGTAAAGTTGTTGTATAATTGGATATTGCATTTATATGCTCTCTGTATTGCGAGCTTCGGTTGGACTTATTAACTGTCGCTATACAATTTATTATTTCTTAACTAACTATGAATTAATTATTTGCCTTTGCCAAGTTCTCTGCACTTATGGTATGATTGTGTGTAAAGTATTATTTCATAGCTGAAGTGCATAGTGCCCTGATAATTCATATATATACACTAATGACTGTTTGAGATGAATATGTAGGGTGCTGGAAATATGGTAATAGACACTTGTTTGATGCGTTTGCTTATTGGACTTATGATTGGAGATATGAATAGGGCATACATATCGGTGGACCAGAACGAGTTAATATTACCTCGGTCTCAACTCAAGATCAATCTTACCAGTCTAAGTGCACAATTATTCAAAACTTAGGACGTTAGAAGATATATGAAAATAGAAAAAGAAGTATAGAGAAATGTTACGTGATTCTTATTGGTAAATCTATTCTGCGTGTCAGTTCCCTGTTGTTTATATAACATTTGGTATCTTTCTGCTAAGGACAAGAAATGAAGTATTGTTGGTTCAGTATTGTTTTGAAAAAAAAAATTCTCATATGTTTTGAAAATACGGTAATAATAACAGAAATAATGGTGTTGAAAAATTCACCGATGAATAAACATAAACAGAACAATCTAAAGTAAAATTGTGATCGATAAACTTTTGAAAAAAAAGAATGTTGTAGAATATGTAAACTATGGGAAAATTGTAAACTAGAAGAAACTTAATTGTTTTTTTCTTATTTCATTAAAGCTCATGAAGAAATGACAAATAGATCAATTAGATAGACTTTAAATACACTTTAAACATATGAATACGTAGCATAAAACTAACACAAAATATCACTATGTAAAAGACAACAAAACGTACCGATTTTTTTATTGGTGAAATCGTTTCACTTTTACATTGCGATTTAAAATTTGTGAATTCAGACTCCAATTTCAATTTTTTACCAATGGCAGGCGTTGAATATTGAACATTGGACTTGTTTGTTTCGGGTGAAGATGATCGTTTTATTATGTGATGAAAGTGTTTTGATGAGATAATAGCCTTTTCTGCTAGTGCTGATTTTCTATTGTCGTTTTGGATAAAATTGTCCTTTATGGTTTACAACACATAGCAATGCAAATAAAACACACATAAGCAATAGCGAATTACACCATGATATTCAATATACTTATTTGGTATAACATATAGTTGTTTAGAAATACTACATTATCGATTAATCTGAAAAACAATTTAAAGTAGTTATGGCTGTCATAGCATCACTAATTGGAAGCTCGAAATGACAACAACTCGAGTAAAAGCTGATAATGTATTGCACTAAATGACTAGTTGATTAGAAGTTTGAAGATTGAACTACTACACATTCTATATTCTAAGAAATGAAAGCTCAATCTTTTCTTGAAATCAGTCACTAGCGTGTACCGTTGAAGCATAGAGAGATGAGACAAAATTTTCGACTTCATTGACAGCTTCATACGACCAAAAAGTTGATATGTATAATTTAATGACGATATAATCCAGAAACAATATATACATTGAAAGACTTACTGTCTAGCCATTTTAATAATAGACGAATTCTAAATTAAAACTTGTGCAACAATTCGATTTCACACTAGTTGTATTTAATCCCTTAAAAACCAGTCAGATAGTTAAACTATAATAGTTGGTTATTGGACATATATTTCAACTATTTCAACAAATAACGATTAATCATGCTATGAGCAGTTTGATGTTACCGCTATCGCGATATTAGAATTTGTAAATTGGGAATTTATTTGAAATTTAAGCATATTACACAGTCATACATACTTTTTATACTTTGTAAAGAGATTCTAAGCACTCCTCTTCGATTTTGAGAAATAATTTACATGTTTACAATATCAGTGTGATTTCGCAGTCATAATGTAAACTTTGTAATCGAACTTTCTATACGATGATGGGATAACCAATATGGTCTAAGTCTTACCAAAAAATTGTCATTTCTGTTGTTAATATACACTAATTTCACTATTCTAGCTCTGATGGCACTATAGTTTCGAACAGGTTCACCAAAGGGAAGTAATGTAAAAAACACAAATTTGACATCGCAAATAGGCTAACGCTAATAACCAATTAATCATTTGATAATCTAAACTGAAATTTTTGACTAAAATGATCATTATTCTGTATTAAAAAAATAAATTGCCTGCAATGGTCTGTCACAATAAATCAGTTGAGTTTTACTGATTTAAACGTTTGAATATTAATAAGTCTCTACAGTCATAAACGTTGGTTGAAGAATGTTTATTAAATCAAAGGCCACAATCAAAGTGATATTACTGAGTGGATAGGAATGAAACAGAAGCAGAGTTTTGCACAAGCATTAAGTGAACCCAGACATATAACTTTTCCATTCTGAAAGGAAGAGAATTCCCATTACTGTATAAATTTGTGTTAACCATCACTGATGAAATATGTTCCAGGTCCTGGGAATATGACAGGAATCTAAGAACAGACGATAAGAACTATCCTATCTATAATTCCTACTTTCCATTAAAATATATATAGTGTTTGATTAAGTGAGAGCCTTCAGATTGCATATCCTTTACAAAAACTAGAAACGCTGACTGGAACAGTCATAGTTTATAGGCTGACTGAGTGAAATGCTACAGGCCCTATATATTGAAATGTCATCTTGAAGCCCTTTAGATAACCCAATCGATTATCACCCAGTTCTACCTGTATTTCAACATTTTAAAATTCTTTCAGCAGGAATACTTGTTACTGCGCCAGTAGTTAATATTACAGCGGTTTATACGATATCTTACCGGATGAATCAAGAAGTGACCAAATGACCAAATATAGTTAGATTATAGCGTTAAACTGTGATTTGATTTACTATAAAATACATAGAAACAATCAAGAGAGAGTCTTGATGTATGTTTAGAAAGTGTCTAATATTCAATAAAACTTGTTCACTCAACTTAATATCCAGGTTTTACATAGCAACTAACTAATGAACAATCTATTAGGAATTTAAACTAGACTTTCGCACTTGTCAGCAATCATCATCAGCAAGATAAAAACGTGTTCACATTCAGTTATTTGAATCACGTTAACAATAAACAATTAAAACTTGTCCAACAAACAAAATAAACTTTGATAATTAATTCAGAAATAAACGAAATTACAACCTACAGTAGATTTTATTTTTTCACTTGTTCTTGTCAAAAGAATATCAGCTTTACTTTTAACAGCATTCCATACAGATTCTTTAGTAACATTTGGTCGACGAACAAATGTGATCAACCTTGCCATACGTGTGCGATACATAGCAGCAACCTGAATAACATAAAATTAAGAGTAAGAATGTAGCTATAACATGAAAAATGTTTATTTACACTTTAATGTAAACAAATGCAGTACTGGTTACGACAAACAAGAACATAAATAAACTAACCTGTTTTTTTACAAATCATAAGGATAAAGAAATATTCATTTGTTAAATAGATTGAATATAACTTAACAACAGAAAGTAAGTGACAATAACATGTATTTGACTATCATTGTTTTAGCAACATTTTATTGTTATAAAAGGTCGATTAAAGATAGTGATTCGTAAGAAGCATAAAAAAGGGAAATATTATCTTCTCAATTTAATATTCTTCTTCATGTGGTTTGTTCGTCTGTGCGAAAAACAACTTAATCAACGAAGAACAGTAAGGTGCTTCCTGTGGATAATCTACATCTTCAGAGATGCTTCCTTTCCACAACATAAATGAGTTGTATAAGATTAACTCTAAAATTATCCTTTTTGTATTGTTTGCCTAAATTTCTCTCTGTAACTCGGATGCAGTGAAGGATAATTTTTAATGCAACCCATTAAATATAGAACCGTGCATTCTGTTTCAAAGCATACTTTATGTACAGGGGGGCTAGTGATACTACTCGGCTGCCTAGACTGAAGTAGGCGAAAGTGGACTCAAACCTGCAAATAAAGGGTTGAAAATCGAACGTCTTAAACACTAAGCAACCACATCACAAGATATGCTTCACAAAAAGCTTTCTATCCTCCTTCAAAAAGCTAGAAACCAAGGTATGGAAGTCGTAACGACTACTCTTCGAATGCCCACTATTTGCAAATAGTCTGAATCGGTAGTCGATGTAACCCCAGGAACTCTGAGAAAACTCTAAAGGGCTATAACTAACCTAGAGCAAAAGACACTGACGTGATGACATTAGGGGTGTGGAATGGTGGTGGTCTGAAACTATAATTTAAATTGACCAGTATACGAAAAAGTGTCTGGGAGCCAGAATCAATCTCGTCTCAAGCGTCCTAGTCTACATAAAAGACAAAAATCTTTTTGTGATAACCACAGAGCAATCAGTTTGACTAAAATAATGTCGAAAATTTACAACTACATAACTATTCAACACCTAAATATGAGCCCGATATTGAAATTATAATTTTTATTATTATTTTCGACAGCGTTCACTCAATTGTAAATCAAAGATGAAACTAGCTTATATTGACTATCAAGACACTGAGATTGTATAATAATGAAATAATTTAAAATATGTATATTACACTATATACGTATAATTGATTAGGATTGATAATAATTGACATACTATGAGTAAATGATTATTAAATTAGAAAGAAATTATTATAACTGAATTTGTAAAAAAACATCATCAATTACATAACTTTCATTTAAAAACGCAATAGTTACTCTTTTAGTCTTTCTAATTTGAGTTTGTTAACTATAACACTGAGTGAGGTTTACCACAAAAAGTAATTCATAGTGTTCAGTTTGACTGGTTAAGATAAACTCAATGATAAATAAAACAATTAAAGTCTGATTGTATTTTTAAGTTTCAGGAAACCTAAAGAATTCCCCATAGTCTAAGATGAACTCAGACACTGAACTGCTTATACTGCTTTTCATCCCTATCACTTCGAATATGACATGAAATCAGTATCACCGTTATTCTTATCATTATTAATGATAATAACAACTAAAATAACAGTATCAATACAGTGTACAATAATTGTAATTGGCGAGTCCAATATTTTTTCTGAGAGCTATACTTATTGTTACTCCATGCATAAATGTTGATTAACTAATTAGTGTGAACAGTATAAGATCACCCACAAAACCAATAAAGTTTGACGGGACTATTAGCAATAGCAACAACAAAATACAAGAAAACAAATGCACGTTGAACAAATATAGGATATTATTGGTCGACTATGACTGTCCAAATGTTGTTAACTAGTTCATTATATTATTATCACCAGTATTATAATAAACAATAATTGATCGTGTAATTGTGGATAATGCTAGTCGAAAAACGTTACTACTGCTTGTTTTCAATAATACAGAAATACTTGACTGTTTACAATGGGCATAAAAAAATTATCAATAGGAATGTAATAATATCTCTCCTTTATTGATAATTTAATGCATAGAGGAGGGATTTGATTGTGACCAACTTAGTCTCGTGTGCTGTTTGATTAGTGTTGGTCTCAACGACCTGAGAGCGAGACCGCAAAGCCCAAGAGACAACTGCTTGAGGCCGGTCGCGCACGGCCTTTTTGTGGGAATTATTTAACGTGTTTGGCTCCGTTTTTTAAAAGGCTTTACCTCCGGAGATGGAAATCCGTGGGGTAAGGTGAAGTGGGACATTTTTAGGGTCGACCTTTTCTAACCCCTTCCTTCCTTGTGAGAAGGCAGCATCTCTGCAGATGCTGGTTGCCTGAGGGAAACACCTTACTGCTGTCACACCTTTCAAAAGACAGTAGTACGACTTCGCCCTCAGACCTTGAGTTGCTGCTTTTAGTCTTACCGTTCTCCAGTCGACCTGCCTGGCATGGAAGAACCTACAGGAACATACGTTCCAGCCAATATAGCTCGGTTGGGTCATCACGGTAGGCAAGCCCGACCACCCCGCCAAGGTAGCAGCTACGGTCGGATTATACTGGATTATACTCTTTGAATATCATCTTCAAACCCTAATCTTTCCGATTACTGCTTATACTTTTACTACCTCTACCACTACGGGTTTTGAATTGACAATTGTATCTCTGTGCTAATGTGGTATGGCAACTCGAACTGACGTACGTACGTACGAAGTTCTACGGTGTTGATGACTGACTAACTCTAATGCATAGAGGATGTATAACTTTAAATAGAAAGCACTCCTCAGAAAAGAAGTTCGGCAATAAGTTCTCATTTAGTCAACCTTTAAAAAAATGTATTTGAATCTAATCGCTTATTCGCAAATGACTAGCCTGCTTTTTAACCTACCATTCAATCTGTCAGTACCACGTTTGGACACGCAGTGTTTATATATATTTGATACATAATTTAGCACAGGTCAGCTATTTCTCATACTTTCATTGTATAACCAGTGACAATCTACTATTCCGTACCACTGGTAGCTTATTCAATTAGTTTGTAGATGTTAATTAAATTTGATTATTCATATTTATGCATGCAAGAAAATACAACTTGTTTGTAATCGGTTTCTAATGATTATAAAATAAATTGATGATTTTTACTTTATTCCTGAATGATTTCATACGTTTTGGTGATGCATTTTTTACTAACTATAATTATTTGGAATATTGCATTGAATATTGTTTGAAGCCATGTGTATTGAACCAGAACGTCTACCCGTCATCACTGAGTTGAAACACATTTTGATTTTAAAATTTAATGAACATTTTTCGTTTATTTAAAGTGCTAAAATCAAATCTAGGTCGTTCGAACGTAAAGTCAGCAACACAACAACAGGATGAGCTAAGCTATTCCACTGTGACCAAGCCCTGCTAACTAGAGGGTGTCCGGAAGAAAGAACGAACGAGCACACAACTCATGCGTATATATACAGTACAAAAATATTCTTGGAGAACGTCACAAAATAGCGTACTAAAAGAGGAAACGAACCAATGACATTTAAGATCCTTTGGTGGGAAATACAAACTGAATGTAAAAGTGCGTACTTTTGGCGCGAAAATGAGAAATTCAATTTTCATAATCAAATTACAAGAAAGAGACATTTACCAGGTGGTTTCCGGGGATCTAGCATCCTCTACAACATGAATCAGTCTAATTTAAATTTAAATATAACAAAATAACCATAATGTATAGAAGTGACTATGCAATACTTCCCGATTAATAGGATTCGGGTAAATTCGATTGATAAAAGCTAACCAGGTTATATACATCATCAAATCAGAGTATAAACCAACTTGACCGAGATATGTTTATTAATGGCAACAAATAATACGGGTCTTATATCCGAAGAATTATCAGTTATTTTGCTAACAATTACAATTAAATATAGGTTGACTGATTCCGGTCAATATCCTAAAACTGTCTGACATCATTTTTTCTATTTAACACAGAATATAATTTAGTTTCAATCCTTCAGATTCTTTAAAATTAGGTTCTTTTGCCACTGTAGTGAAAAGAAAATAGAACGAAACACTGCATAATACATGGTGAATGACAAGAGTATTATATAGGGGAAAAATCATATCACGGGAATAATAATCATTTGAATAACCATTTTTTTAATGCATCAAATGAATCGCTACGTAATAGAGATTAAAAATGATGGAACGGCTCCTACAAATGTCGTGTACTTAAAACATGACTTTTACTGGTTACGGAAGTTTATAAGTTTATACTCAATAAAATCAGGAACGAAACCAAAAACAAAGTGGACTGGTCATTTTTTCCAGGTTGTTAATTTTCGGAAAGGTAAAAGCCTTAATTTTTAACCAATCTAGCAGTGAAATAAATACAACACAAACAAAACGGCAAAAACGTAATCAACCCAAAGCTATTTGACTATTAAAACATCTTCAAAACATTTACATTATATACATAGGTGTGGAGAACTAGAGAAAAGTCTATCGATAAGTTATCAATGCTTTAAAATATTTCAAGTAACAAAAAAAGATTTATCAACCTGAATACTTTAGAAAACTCATTTGACTGGAAAAACATGGTTTAAAATATGTACAAAACGAATTAGTCAATTTTAAATTGTCTACGATGTTCCACCACTTTAACTCAGGCAGCTCAATAACCCCAAAAAGAGAACCTATTTTTTACGAGGGAGAGGTAATAGAATGGATAAAACCAGATATATCATATGTTTGTGCTCACATACTGTTGGAAGGTCAAGTGCTAGGTGAGAGATTATTTTTATTTCTTTATTTGATACACAAATAGTGGCATAACTAGGCTTCAAGATAAAAATGCGTCATACAAATATGAAATGAAGCTATGGAGAGATAGACGAAGGAAACTTAGTATAATTAAAAACAAACAAGTGAACAAGAATAATACGTAAAAGGAGAACAGTCCAGTTAGAAATACAACCAGAGATAATTTCTAAATTAAGGAAATTTATATCATCATTCAATAAGAAGGTAAGATAGAACTGCAGCAGGATCGCCATTGATTTATTCTTTGAGTCATGTCTGATAACGTCTCAAGCCATTAGGTTGCACCATTTCTCGAATCCCAACCAGAAAGTTATGACAGACCGAAAATTATCAATTCTATAGAGCCTTACTTTTGCCATGGCTCCATGTCATAAACCAACCACCTCTCCAATTTCTTCCAGCCAGTCTCGGTGACGGTAAATAATACAGCATGCGCAAGTCACTGAAGATGACATTAATAACACTTGTTCAAGACATCGAGACTAGTGTTTTAAGATAAAAATACTAAACGAGTTATGGATACTTTGACAGAACTCAAACTGGTGAGTCTCAGTAGTACTAATATGGTGATGTCACTGAATGTCAGAAATCCTTTAGAGACAACGATGATCGAACATAGTCACTGGACATCCTCGATTCAGACAGACAGTTTCACAGGAGTACAACAAAACTGCTCTCAACGGTGCGTTGTAGACCTCACCTTTTACAGACAGAATGACATTATGACGGCTCCAAATATTGCCTATATAAACGTAATCATCTCTGGCTTTCACTGTACTTAGATCAGCCCTACAAATCACAGCACCTCAAACACGACCGCTCAGACACACAAGCTACCAAACTACTTAAGACTCACCACTAAGGGTGGGTGCCGACATACGGTCCTACCAATCTTGTGAAAGTACTTTGCACTTGGAAGGTTAAAAGTGAAGACAAAGATTAAAAAGTGCAACTTCCATTGCTTGTACATTATCTTACAGTGAGATAATATTATCCACATACTCAAGATCGAATATTCTTTCTCTAGATAACAGAGTCACACCAACACTACTCAATCCCACAAGAAATATTTCCAAAATGTCATGGATGGTAAAGGTGAATTACAATGGTAATGAGAAATGACAAACAATACACGCTGTTGCGTGAAGCTCATGATGCACTTTTTCAAGGTCTTAGTTTATATAACTGAGAGACAGATTATATATAAACGTATGAATTGTGTACACCTTTATTCGGATGCCGGTTACAAATTCCTATTCATGTTTATACTTATCGCTCATATGGTAAGCTAAGTTTGCATATAGGAAATACGTATATCAGTATCTACTCCAATGAATACAGAAATCAACATTTCATGAGCATGTAGATATCATTACCAAAGTTTGACTTGATAATTTCGAATAAATTGAGCATTGGGTAGATTGTTTTAAATAAATTAATATATTTGTAATATCTCAATGAGTAGAAAAATTAAATTTTCTAAAGTTTCGTGACTCAGTGTAAGCCACTTCTTTAGAGAATAAATAACCAAATCAAAATTAATCTAAGTTTAAGTAGTACAAACGAGCAACCAAGAGTATTATATGCGATCAATCAAAAGACAGGTCTGACCGAAATAACATGAAATTGACTTCTTCAGACCTGTTTTTTGATTGATCGCATATAATACTCTTGCATTGCTCGTTTGTACTATTTAAACTTTGAATAATTTTGATTTGGTTACTTATTCTCTGAAGAAGTGGTTACACTGAGTCACGAAACGCCAGAATATTTAATTTTTCTACTCATTGAGATATTATAAATATATTAATTTATTTCATGAGCATGGTTTTTATTCTATCGTAAGATGAATACATTTAAAAATGATATTTATTTACACTTTTAGTTTCCAATTATAGTTACGGGTAAGTTGCAATTAATCTGTTTACCATGTCGTTTCAATTAGGTCAATTAAATATCAAGCATTGAATTAATAAATAGAATAGATAAAAAAGAAAACATTAACCAATGAACTACTAATAAGACCCTAAATAGATTTTCGTTTTTCCGCACTACTTGTTTTAACCAATTATTTCATTTTTACAAATATTCAGACAAATACAATAAATCTAGAAAACATACGACAATTATACATATTGACATTAGGTAGGAGGATTAATTGCAACACATATATCGAGTTTACAATAAACATATATGCACATATTAACAAGATTATTGAAATCAATTTTCAGTCAACTAAACAGAAGCAAATTATTAAAAATATACTTATAGTAAATATTTATAAAGAACATACTATTGTAAAACTTTACTAAAAAGAACAATTAAAACGAAATTAAAATGCTTCGGACTAATAATATTAGATTAAATAATAATCGTGTTACATTACTCCATATCAACTATGGTGTAATTAACTTAAGGTATATGAATGTAATTGTGTATAGAATAGCTTACTTTTGATTCTTTAAATAACACATACTCTGCATCTGCACATAACTTATTTAGTAATGCTTCATGTTCTGGGAATAATTTTTTCATTGCACTGATAAGTAACTGAAGAGTTTGATCACGACACCATCCAGTGATTCCGGTAACATTACGATTGTCTGGACTTATTACTTCAGTTGTATCTGGGGCCGAAACCCATGACGACTAAAGATAAACAAGAACGAGAAATGAAAGAAATTGTAGTCAAGAATATAATGTAAACTATGATAGAATACATGGAACTGTTTTGGTCACTGATCATTATTAACTTGATCATAAAAATAAGTCGGAAAACCAAACATCACTAAGAAATATAAGCGCATAATATGAAGTGTCTATAGTCCATTGATTTTGAAGTCATAGTTTATCTTTCTCAATAGATTGGTATAACCGAGAACATTCACAAACTAAGACGTTTGTGATTTGTCTGTCTGCCGAAAAACGAACGAGTACACTGAGCAGCAGTCGAGAATATACTACACTCTGGCTGTGAAATATAGTCCATAAAAGTACAAGATATGGATGAACTGGAAATATTTGTTTACAGGTGCCTTTGAAAAACTCTTCGCGTATCGTGGGACGACTACGTGAGCAACGCTGAAGTTAGGGATAGATTACTGAAGAAACATGGTAAATCAGTTGATAGGTCGTTAATCTTCATTGATCGAGATGTCTTGGATGTTTATTATGCGTCCCTAACCACTACCAACATAAATGTGCATTGATAGCTGAAGCAAGGGTAAGCTCAAAGAAGGCTAATGAAATCACTGACTGTTGGTTTGAATTGCGTTGCCTAGTACAGACCATCTGGTTAGGATCGTTTGATAATTACTATCAGTGGTTGAAGATGTTAAGTAACATGATTAATCCTGGTTTAATGCCCAGTTTTAAAATTATATCATTTATGTTTAGCCTTTTAGATTAGAATTAATACTACTGTTATTTTGATTCCTTTGTTATTCATTTTACCAATTTCATTTCGCTGTGTTGAAATGGTGTAATAACTAGGGGTGATATACATGTTTACTATGCCCTACATTATGATTGAGTAGATATTAGAATAGGCTGAGGGTGTCATTCTCTAGGAAGTTTTGATACTTGGTTGCTCTCTATCACTGTTTATATCTCAGAATATAGAGTTCACATAAGCCTCAAATTCCTATGACAGATCATATTTATTATCTTCCACAATGGAAATGATTAGATCTTAGTCAAATTACCATCTCTTAAATTCCATTTCACCATCCTTATCCATTCAACAGATTAGTTGTTAAAAAAAACATTCAATAAAATATCACGATATTGAAATGATCTTATTTATTTGCTTATAAGAAGAGTATCTTTACTCTTTATGTTAATAATATAATATTTCATACATCTTAATCCTTTGATAAATTTAAATAAAGCGAGAAGAACAAGATTTGTAGAATAATAGACATTTGTTTGATATCAAAGTTTTGCATCAACTGCAAACGGCATAAATTTACATCAATGACATTATTCTAAGAAAAATTTTACATACCATAATCAATGAAGTTCAGTTCGTAAAAACATCAGAAACGAGAAGAGGAAACAACATATTTACCATAATAATTAAGATATTAGTATTGATATATTAAAGATGAAGATATAAAATTAGCCTTGGAATATATAGAATTCATGTTATTATGTAAATCCTGTTCTTTTCGCCTTATTTAAATAAAATATTGAATTGAGTCATCATTAATTTAATTGTAAAATTAAAGATTGCGTGAATTCTATTGCTAATGCTAACAAATGTTTTAATTAATCACTGAAAAAGCAGAACGAACACAAGCACTTTATTATAAAAAATTATTTATTAAATTTTTACTAACCTGTATAGGTTTATCTGTGTTACGTCGACGTTTATTAAATTCACTAGTGATTAGCTTTTGTCTTTCTAATTTATCATACTCTTCAAGTTGTTGATCAGCTGAAAAATTTTCCGAATCACCACCATTATCATCATCAAACTTATTAATATCATTGTAATTTCCAATATTGTCATTATCATCATTATTATTATTTTGGTAACCAATTTTAGTAGCTAACAAATCAAAGTGGTAAAAAGATCGAAAGATTGTAACGCATAAGTTCAGAGTGTAGAATGAATTGCTCTGAATTTTCGGCTTAGTTAATAAACATAGTGAAAACAAGTTGGGTATCAACATCATATCACAATAGAAATACCGGAACTCTTTATGATATTTAATAATGTGTATAAAATGAAAAATTAAAAAGTTATCGCATATGAATACAAATCGATAGAAAAAATGATGTATTTAGTTCAGTAAAGAAGCTAACTATGAATAAAACTGATGCTGGTTTCAGATTATTAGAATTCCTTGGTTAGCGAAAAACATCCAATCAATAAGATAAATAATCACACTTTATAACATATGAATAACAAAATTAAAGCTACAACTGTGAAGTTTGTGTGAAATATCGCGACTTTTTATTTGTCAGATACACAATTGAAATAGCGTTGATTGGATTAATAACTAACAGAATCAATGCGTAGTCAGAGAATTCTATGTCCAGTCTTATGAAAGATTTATGAATTGGACCTTGGAAACAACTATGTTTTGTGCCTTAATATTGGATGGAAATTCGACTGATGTTAATCTGCTAGATGTCTGCAGTTACCAAGTGGAATTGTGACAGTTTTGAGGAAACAGTCATTAAAAAATTAGTGCAAAGCGTACCCCATTTATCGATACATATCAGGTCTTGTGGCATGACTATCCTCAACAACGTCTAATGAATAAAGTTATATGTAGACATTCAGTTTACAAATGTGAAAGTCTAAATAAACCAATCATATTCAATACAAATTGAAAATAGATACTTACTAAACTCAAGAGCACGGAATAATGCTAGATTCATACACACTCGTGATGCATTGACACAAACATCACAATGATTCCCACATGGAGCTTGTTCATCTTTGAAATAAACTCCCATCTGTTGGTGCCTACAACTTTGGTGTGTAAATGGGGAAAAAGATAAATATTAATGAATTGAATTGGGAAATGACTAATTCGAACACAGATCTAGTTACGGGCGATAGTGTCATCACTATGAGAATTTAATGTTTTGAACACAGTACAATTTCATTAGGACGATCATCAGTGCGCTGATGAAAAGATTTTCACATACTTCTTGTTTATAATCGAAAGTTAATTGAAGCCGTTCTGCTGAATTACCTGCCTGATAAGTAACTAAAATTCATACTACCTTAGTTCCAAATATTTTATGTATTTTATGCCTTCGTGATGTTAGTCTGGCTGTAAAAGGTCGGATCTACAACGCGTCGGTGAGAGCAGTTTTGCTCTATGCTTGTGAAACCTGGCCTCTCCGAGTTGAGGACGTTAGACGACTCTCTGTGTTCGATCATCGCTGTCTCCGAAGGATTGCTGACATCCAGTGGCAACACCATGTCAGTAATGCAGAGGTTCGGCATCATGTGTTTGGGCACAGAGATGATAATTCAATTGGTGTCACCATCTTGAAACACCGACTTCGGTGGCTTGGACATGTTCTACGAATGTCATCCCAGAGAATTCCACGTCGTGCATTATTTGCCGACTCTGGGACTGGTTGGAAAAAGCGGAGAGGTGGTCAGTGCATGACATGGTGTCGTGGTATGAAAGAAAGCTGCAAAGGACTGGCTTGTGTTGGTCCTTCACGACTCCCTGGTTGGGGTCTGAGAGATGGTGCTACACAGTGGCTAGAGACGTTATCAGATATGGCTCAGAATAGAAGCCAGTGGCGATCCTGCTGTAACCTTCTTTTACTTTCTTCATAAAAAGTGGTTGTGTCTCCCTTACTTGAAAGATTTCTTCTGATTGTACTTTTCCGTTCCATTGTTACGACCACACTAAATCTCTTCGTTATCGTTCCCTTTTGTGCTCCTTGGTTTTTTTTTTTTTCTTTCTTTTTCTATCTCTTCGAAGTTACATTGTTTTGTGTGGCGCATATATATTGGCGCTCTCTTGTACCAATATTTATGTGTTAAAATAAATAAATAATAAATAATATATATATATATATATATATATATATATATATATATATATATATATATATTGTGGCATGATTACAGCCTGCTGATCAAAATTCAGAAGGCAGAACTATGTTACATACTAACCAGTAACAGATTAGGACTTATTTCAGTCTTACGAGAAATAGGTTGCGACACCAATACCTTGGTATTGTTGTCTTAAACTCTAGTGCTCGATGAAGCAAAATCAAACATAAAGGGTATCTCTTACACTAAGGTTCAAGATAGACCTCACTACTGTATTAACAAGTACAAAACGTCCGTTCGGTGTGATTTGGCTCAATCGCATCCAGCCATCTGGCAAAAAAAGATGGCAGTCACATTACCAGATACCTTGGAACAATCGAATATTTCCTTATAATGTAAAAATCTGTAAGATAGTCGGGTGATTTGTCCTAGCAAAACAATGACTACTGGATTGAACCAGATAGTAGTACAGACGTCATCATGTTGTGAATGAAATGTGGAAACTATGACTTAAGAAGAAATTAACTGACTATGAAGTCATCTACTCTTAATAGTAACTTGAATAAACATTAACTCATGATCACAAAATGCATAAGTAGAGAGAGAACCAACGTGTAACAGTCAACACAATAATATATGGAAATTAGCTGGACTCACTTTGCTGTCTCAACATATTTTACCATCGTATTAATATCAATTTTTCGACACTGAGTGTTGTTAAGTGACTTTTGAGAACCACTCTGAAAATAATGTATGATTCGATAAATAATTTACTTACGTTTGGCTCTTGGTTTGCTAGAAAAACCACAGTATCACGTTCCTTCTTAAAGTAATAAATTCGACAAGAAGCTTGTAATCCATCTCTTCCAGCTCTACCTGATTCTTGGTAGTACGCCGCCAAACTTTTAGGTAGAGTCCAGTGAAGAACGAATCTTTGGTTTAAAGAAAATCTCAAAATATAGAGAGCTATTAATTATTTATAAAATATCCAAATGATGATTAGATATATCGAAATAAGTAGATCACTGAGCACGACACGCGACACAAACAACTCTATACAGATCAAAACATGTCACCTTTACAAAGACCTTCAGGCGTAAGACTTCCGATAGATGCATTTAATGCCAACAAAAAACAGATGTAATTAAGCCTTGCCATCATTTCGAGTTCATTGGACTAAAATGGTAGTACTCTTATTAGCATATATACTTTATGATTTGATTGGCAATCAAATTCCCAAAAACAACTAAAACATTCCCTGTTTACGTAGCACACCTTTTCGGACCCTTTTGTTACTATCATCTTCAGCATAGGCGAAGCTTGAAGGTATACAACGGGCGTTACCTACCATTTCTATCTTTATCAAGGATTAAAGTTACTAAAAATACTTTTCCGAAGAAACTCCATTTTCAGTTTCGATGAGTATTTTGGTATATCCTATATGTGCATTTTGCTTGTTAGAAAATTTAGAAGTGTTATGGAAACAACTTACTTACAAGCTATTATCTGTCCCAACTAGTTGGATCATCAACCAATGACGATATCACAGTAACAAAGTTATAAGAATTTTACTGTCGTTTAAGGATAAAACATCAGAAGTGTTAAAACTGCTAAGGAAATAATAACTAGGTCAAAAGAACTATGAATGCATTTTCAATCGTCATTTAATACTCAATACCTAAGTTAGTCATAATATCAAGTGTTATGTATTAGGACTGTAAAACGTCCTTGTTTTATCTAAATTTATCATAAAATTACATCAATTAATTTCACAGATATTAGCCTTTTCTTGAGAGATATAGTTCACTTGTAGTATACACTGGTTGTACTGTGTTAGATGAAGACGTTGACAACTTAGTGTCTTTTGAACATTTTGAATATCGATGTAATATCTGAATTAGTTTGTTATTTATTTGCATGTGAAATGCGATATTATTAGTTAGCATTGTTGCAATACACAACCACATAGAGTGAAGTAAAGAAGTGTTGACGCGAGGTCGGTAGTAAGGTCATAGCTGATTAGTTACAGGGCTAGTGTCTTAAGCGATAGGATGTCTGAGCCCAACTTCACTGACTTTGGGATAATCATCTGAGCCGAATCACCACTGTTCCTTCTTAAAGTGCAATTTGAATCCAAATACATGAACCTATATTTGATAAATAAGTCACATTAAAAATTAGTTTCGACCAATTTATGTACTTTAAGAGTTTAATTATCTCTGCTGACTGGGTGGCCAATCAAAGCTCGCTGTGAGCAAGAAATCCTAATTTGGTTTATACCGAAACATGTCAAGTATGGCACAGTTTAAGTGTCCAAAAAAGCGATTAACGGTTGTGTTTTTAAAACCCCAATTTTAGTAGGGCCACCCAGTGATAAATCTTGGGACAGTGATGATGGAAATGTGAATCATGCTGTCACGAATATTCGATTGTTGTCTGTATGTTTTTGTCTGGTTTTGCAGTAAGTTGAAAAATAATATTAGTATCAAGACAATCATATGACGTCGATTCAGGAAATCAATGACTATTACGTATGGGAACTTTACAAGTAATACTTGAGAAACGCTATTTGTTCCCTCACGATCCTAGAGCCGATGAGAATCGTTGGTTTGAAATCATGGCTTTCTGAATCCACCAGGTGGGTCCTTCAATCCACCAGTGCAGTTAAAGCGCCGGACATTCGCTTCCCATCCTTTCGACTTCGTAACCAATCCCGCCAGGAGTCAGTAAAACGTTCCTGGCAGTGGCTGCATACGCGTGACCATATGAGAGCATTTTGAGAGGGAGATCGGACAATTAAGGGCTAATATGAGGCGCTCAAAACCACAGAAAAGTTCCCTTATACGTTTTCTAAATATGTTGCTGCAAATCACTTGTCCACTGATACTATTTGATTCCTTAATTCTTCTGTTAGGTATATGGAGTCCTTAAATACAACATATGAGAAGTGAATCAATATTAATAAACATGAATTTCTGTTACAATAAATTGTTCCTCATTGACTACTCATGAACCTTCGATGCACTTTCATAATGACTTTTATTTGAGGAAAAATACTCAGTCTATGAGTCCTAATCACTAAATGATATATAAACGACTAACTTGAGTGTACTTTCGACTGATCTACTAGGGCCATTATCCATACGCTTCAATTACTAAACTAGTGTCTTTGTAGTAGTTGCTGAATCAAGAAAGGATAGGATAGAAGTGATCTCGTTCATTTAATTAAAATCAGCGTTTCGAAATATTAACATAGTGCAAGGAAGTATAATTTTCCTTCAGTTCTTTATTGCTTTTCGAACCATGTTTTTATTCATCCTCCTTATCGATTTCCTTTCGCTGTGTTATTTTAGTTGGTACGTGATTTCTGTCGGCCAATAAGTTGTGTTTTGTCACCAATTCTAACCAAACTCGGTTGAATTACTATTAAAGGCTATGTACACTGGAATCCGCATTGGTTACAGTGACGAACTCAAAATGTAATACATTTTCCGTAATGTATATATATATATATATATATATATATATATATATATCACTCTATCCAAAGCACTTTAACACAGAATTTGTATATCAACGGAAGCTAGCAAAAAGGAAAACAGGTAGAGTAATTTAAAAACAGGTTTACAAATAATGAATATGACGGTTTAAACTGACCTCACATTTGGTTTATCGACACCCATCCCAAAACTTATGGTAGCAACTACTATTGGATACAAACCGGAAGACCATCCCGTTTGGACGTCTTCTCGTTCGGATTTGGACAACCCCGCGTGGTAGGCCCGTGAAGACAATCCAAGGGAAGTTAGCTTTTCTGCCAATTCCTCACAATCAGTACGCGTTCGACAGTAAACGATACCGCATCCAAGTTTTGTCTAATCGGAGATTACTACGCAATACTAAATGAGAGGCTTACCCAATCACATTTTCGAGACTTGTCCCAACCGATACTTTCGGCAGCGAATTGCAAAACGTCAGCATATACGTCATCAATTAAGTCACCAAACACAACGTCATAGTAGAGATTTGGCCGGAAAATACTGCATTTGAATTCCTCCAAGTTACCGGCAAAACCAAGTGAACTTATAGGAGAATAATTCGAAAGTTCACCAAGTCCCAAACATTTGATGATATCCTCACGTACACGAGGTGTAGCAGTTGCAGTAAGTGCTATGCATGGTACGGCTGGGAAAAGTTTGCGACGAATCCTCCCCAGAGCAAGATAAGCAGGCCTAAAATCATGTCCCCATTCTGATACACAATGTGCTTCGTCAACAACGAAATAACTTAAACATGACTTTTCGTATAACTGACAAATAAGGGAAGAGGAAAAAGGAGTTTGTAGCTGTTCAGGAGTTATGTACAGAAGTTTAGGGTAAGATTTTGAACCAAGTGGCGTGCTCATCAGCTGATGAAACAGTTTGCGCCTTTGTGTGTCCGCTGTTCTAGAGTTAATGGTTTCTGCCTGAATATGAAGTTTTTTTAAGTGTGTTAATTGGTCACTTATGAGGGCAAGAAGCGGTGAAACTACGAGGGCGACACCCGGATGCATTACGGATGGAAGCTGAAAGCAGAGTGACTTTCCAGAACCTGTTGGCATTGAAATAAATACATCGTTTTTTCCTAAAAACATCAAGTTATGCTGAGCAGCTTACCCTTGAACACAGAAAGTGTCGCTTGTTCCTGCAACTTGGACTTAAAATTTTTGAGCTTAAAAATGTCATTTAACGCAGTATATACACCATCTTGACTGGGTCTTGCCATTTTGTAAACCATGAAGTAAGCTCACAACATAATTGCAACAGCTGTAGTAACAACTCATTCAAAGTGAGCGGTCCTCCACTAAATAGCTGTCGTTCCAAAAATAAAAGAATGGCTAATCTACATTACTATCCACAGTTCACATTGTATTATATTAGGAATTGGTAACTTTCTAAAATTGTGATTTCATGTGGTTCAATCGCCAATCTCCTTATTTCATGGCTAGATGTGAGATGTAAGTCTTAAGATCAGATTATTGGAGGCTGTATGTGCTTCTGCTATCACTCTTGTTGAAATAAATTAGAAATACAAGTTCGTGACTAACTTTTGAACTTCATAAAATGTGTACGAAATCCAACTACTAGGTAGATATCGTTTTGCACGACGAGTCAACTTATCATCCAGAAGATGCCACATGTATTTGGAGTTTAATGATATTTTTACACGTAGCACATTTTTAGTCGAAAAATATCAGCTGAGTGAAATAAGAAGCCGGAAGTGAATTAGTTCAAAGATATATTTCTAAGTTATCGAAACTTTGAGAAGCGTTTGACCCAAACTGCCGAATAGTTGCACGGGATGAGTAGCACGACTTATTCTGCTGAAGATTCTTGGATGAAAACATTTGTGGTATTTACGCTAACTGATGGTTTCTTTGTACCCGATTGCACACGGATTATAAATTCTAAATATAATACGTTCAGTTGTGATCATTTAGCTCTATCTGCAAAATTAGCACTATTTCGGAAATCTTTAGTGAGCATATGAATTGTAATACTTTTAATTATCATAGTTTTAGTAAAACGTCGAAGACACACAGAGCTACGTATTTTGAGGATTTATTTACTCCTACGCCTAACTCGACCTCCTTTATTGTGGGGTAGTGATGACTATGAGAAACTTAAACCCAACGAGCTTGTCCTTGGTAAGCAGTATTCTGAGAGCTCGCTATGTTTAGCAGCACCCGGCCGCCCTTATCTTATATTAGAGATCATGAGCTACAATGTAACAATAAAAAATATCTGACGTAAAAATTCTATTTGTCACGTGCTTTGATGGTTTTTTCATCTTTTGCTGCCTTCCCGGAAAAGAAAAGGGAAAATTGTAAGTGTATGTTGTAACACACTCGTACGTGTGTAAGGACATAAAACGTGCGGAAAAAAGTAAACGACTGTTATACATGCGTATAGAAAAAATGTGATAGAATAAAGAAAATTTCGCACAACGATATTTGGGTTTGCATGTAGGACAAGTTCAATATCACTGAGCCCTAGCCAAACCACCTGGCAGTTGGGGCGACGCTTCCGTTATCGTTAGTTCCGTTATTAGGTTTATGAAAATCACTTGGTCGCGATTGAGTGAAAACGGGTTTAACTGAACGAAAGGAGTCGGTAAGACTACTTGTGTAGAAGTTCGGATCCATATTCATTGTAGGAGACGAAGGACACACTAATTATTCCGGAAGTCGGAGTGTCGTTTCATGAACGAAATGAGCTGTAGTGTATCCACTGTCAGCTGTCTTTGCATTGCGATTACCGAATAAAACAAGTGGAAGAACGTCAGTCCACAGTGAAACATTTGCAGCTGAAAGTAAAGCTTCAAGCTCTTAGTGAAAGCATCCTACCAAACTGTTTGCTTGTTGGGGTAGGTGGTCGTTTGGAAATGCTTGATTCATAGTAGCATAATAAAAAAACAGAATAGCTCAGATTCGGTCTGACGTCTGCAGTCTGTGGTGATAGTTGAAGGGCAGTCGAAATTTCCTGTTCATCGTTCGACGTAGACGGTAGAAACTGTTTCAGTAATAATGTCCTTGATGGGTATTGCTTCTGTGCATCGTGCAAGGCGATCCACGTACATTAAAAGGTAAGAGTATCCATTGGAATCTGGTAAGGGTCATATAGAATTTAGATGAACATGGTCGCAACAAGCGTCGTGAGTTGTGAAAGAGATCGAGGCACATTTGTTGTGCCTAATCATCCTAGATTTCTGTCAGCCGACACAGGAGCAGCCCCACTCCCTAGTGTCTATAGTCAAACCAGGCCAACAAAATCACTCTGCTTTTCCATTTTCAGGTTTCCCCAGATTTATAAGTGTGAATCCTTGGAAAGTGCTCAGGGAAGTTATACGATACAAGGCTTTCGCAACGACATCGTTTGCCCCAGAAATGTGATTTGTATCTGAAGTTTATTGCGAAACGTAGTCCTGTTGTCCAGATTATCGAGGAGAGTGGTTGTTTGAAAACGAGCTTAGAGAGCAAGTAAGAGGTCTATAGTTGTTAAGGATCTGCTAAGGGTTTTATAACAGACACTTATTTCCATAAGAACAGCCGATGAAAAGCCATTGGACAACTTAAAGTGAGTCATTTCAAGATTACAGTTGGATCTGGCTAATCCAGAATGGCCGTCACTTTGTTTTGCAGAAGGCGAATACCTCGATGGTCAATAATGTTTGGAAAAATTTAGGAAGCAGGTTCCGAACTGACGTTTCTCAATGTTTATAGTAATGCCGTGTTTTTGCATTTCTTCGAAAACAAGGTCCAGATGCTGAAGATGTGATACACTGCCCTGAAATTTGGTCAATCAGTCATCAGCATACGCATGTACGAAGTTGGGAATTCGAGAAACATCATCGATGAATTTCTGAAAAGTTTAGACAGCATTTCTCAAACCGAATGGTATGCTCAAAAATCCACATAGGCTGAAAGGTACAATGATAACGATCTTGAAGGTTTGACCAGATGCCATGTAAATTTGGTTACACGCTTTAACCAAAACAAGTTTCGAAAAAAGCAGTCGCGTTTTTCAGTGTAGCTGTCAAATCGTGAATATAAGGCAACAGGTGACGGTCAGGAATGTTTTTCGCCGATGGTCACCAGTTGGAAACCGATCGTTGTTGTCCGTTTTAGGGACCATGTTCAAAGGAGATGCTTATGTGCTGTTTGATGGCCGAATGGTTTTTTAAACTGTCATATGTTGGAATTCGTTTTTAGCCAACCTCAGTTTTTGGGAGCTATTCAGAGCGCTTTCGACTTTACTGGTGGTCCTGTAGTCATGATGTGATGTATAACATTGCTGACTGTACGTAATATTTTGGTCTCGTTAGGTATAGGTCGCAGTAGTTATGGTGTACTTGCTTATAGCATGGATCGATCGTTTGCTTTGGTGTGACAAGGATCAACTACAAGCGGAGAAGGTTACACTAAAAAATAAATAAGTATTTCCGTCTACTAACCTGCGTTTGCGCTTGTTTATGACTAACTTATGTTTTAACAGGTCCGTACCAATGATTGTCAAAGAAACACCTGCAACAACGAAATTCTAGTGAGTGGGTTTGCGAAACCCACGTTGACACAAACATATCGCCCACCATATGCGGTGATCGCTTTCCCATTTGTCGCCCGTGAGCTGAATACTGCTTCATGGATTCGGTTACTTGAATTTGCAGAAAGAGCGTTAACCGCTGCGCCAGTATTGGCGAGAATACGAACTTCCGTCATCATGCCAGTGGTACACAACAGACGACTATGTTTTTCGGCCACGGTTTTCGTTAAAGCATTCCAGTGAAGAAATTTCTTCAAAAGATTTTCGTCTTCGAAGGTTTGAGGACTGAGAGGCTGAAGGGATTCTCTAGATTTCCAGAGGACTTACAATACTTACTGTGGTACCGTCACCAACCATGATTATGGGCATCTCATGATCTAGAAATGGACATATTTCATGTCGAGCTTGTGAGAGCAGTTTAAGTGTGCCTACGATTATAATGAATTTTGAGATAATGAGTGCGAGTATGACAAATCCATAACGTTAAGTTGTGTCGTCTAAGGATTTTTCGACAGATCAAATCTCAATACAGTGGGTTTCTTGTGACCGGCGCATGTAGCAAGTTAGTCTACAGCGTTATTCTGAAATGAGACAAAGACTGCCTGTACTATTTGGGAAAGGTTATACAAGAAGGAATTTCTTAACAGGCTCGTATAAAAGGACCGTCGATCAATTAACTCTCATACTTAGTAACATTTCTGTTGCCGAGCCATGTCGAAATTCAAAACTATTGAAAAGCTGATCTAACATTTGTCGGTTTGTTAGATGCTTGCGTTTGAAGACAGCCTTCTTTACAGTGTCGTAAGGTTCAGAAACGTCGCTAGTAAACACACTTGGTGTGATGTACCCGTGAAATGGCGCTGTAGTGCCTTCATTACCACGAGGAATTGTGCATGTATGTCTCATATTTAGCGCTCACAGGAGTCAGATTCTGTGTAGCAGAACCTCGTTTTGATATCATGGGTCAGTATGGAATGAGTTGAAGGGTGAGTCTTAAACAACCTAGGTGTATATACCATCATAATGAATGTAGGATATACAAATGAAAGAAAATAATCTGAAAATACAAAAAGCAGTATCACTGTTTCATACAAACAGACACAATTGGTTCATTTAAAACTTCACTGGCCTCGTATTCATAAATAGCGACTGGGAATACGTATAACAAAGACACCTTTGTCTTTTCCAACGATATGATGTACCAATCAATCAGGTTAAGCGTATTTGCAATAGTTCTATTTTACATTTCCAAAAGTTTCACGTTGATTCCAACAATATAAATCCATTCCGAAATAAAGTTGGGGAGTAGGTCAAATACCACAAGGTTGCATGTATATTCTTGAAAGTCATGTACTTTATGTTATCCAAACCTAAATAAGTGTTTATTTATCTCCTACGTCGCTCACCTGATGTAAACATAATGTCAAATATGAATAAACGATTTGCTTGAGGCCAAAGAGATGTAGCATGCGCAGGATTTAACAACACTACTGTCAAAATCGCATCTAGCAAACGATTTCAGATTAAATAAACCAGATTTTAAAAATAATCAAAGGGGAAGAATATTTGAATTGTGGGTAGAAGTAGGTTATGAGGGGCATCAAACCATGATCCGTTCACACAACGGAACTCACGTAAGCTAGTAACGTTTGAGTAGTTTGCTTGGCAAGATCTGGCATTCCAAAATAAGTACCCAGTTGTAATTATCTGATATTGGCTATAATAAACACCGTAAGTAGGATTCTACTGCTCCTGATTCA